CCTGGCTTTGGGAGGTGGAGACAGGCAGGGGCAGCTCCAGCCCAGGCCGTTTTGGGTTCAGGGGGCCCCAGCGTGGGCCTGGAATGACTGAGCGGCACTGGCCCTGGCCTGGCGGTTTCGGGGGCTCACGAGGCGATGGCTGGCAGCTTAGCAGAGGCTGGCTCCACTTCACCTGGCAGCCGAGTGCTCCCCGCAGCCGCCCCATCACCAAGGTGACATCTGGAGTCCCGGAGATGGCACAGTGCCAGGCCTGGGCTGGAGGGGCACATGCCACTTGAAGCCTTAATTAAACGCCGGCAGGAGTGCTGGCACCTCCTGTCCGCACCTCGGCAGCTGCCTGTTTGCAGCGTGCTGGGGGGCGGGGGTCAGCGAGGGCTGCAGCTGGGTGTGCAGATAAATATAGATACAACCTCCGCTCCCCCGTCCCTGTAACACACCCCATCCCTCCCGCTCCTCCTCCGTCCCACCGCAATGCCGCAGGCCTCCCTCTTCCCAGGGTGAGGAGCCTTTAAACAAACCCTTTTCCCATAAAAAAAGCAGATTCCTGCCTTTCCGTGGGGGCTGCCAAGCCAGCCGCTGCTAAATATCCCGCAAGCGCCCTCCCTGCTGCGACGAACCGGCAGGAAAGACAAGGTCCTTTGTAAGGGCGGCAGGGCAGGGCTGGGATCAAGGGCGTCTCCTCCAGGGGGTGAGGGGCGGGGGGTTATGGTGGCAGGGCCGGATCCTCAAGCTCGGTGCACGGCGGTGCTGAGCTCTTCTGAAAATCAGGCCCTGTGGGTGGGTCCAGGGCGCCTGGGCTCCCTCCTGCCTCTGCCCCAGACTCACCACGGGGCAAGTGGGTCGCCAGCTTCTGCCCGCCACTCATTCATGTGTGGAAGGTGCTTGGTGAGCTTCCTCCGGAAGGTGCCAGGGAAGCCAAGGGGGCAGTTACTCGGCGTGGGGAACCTGCCCCAGCCCTGCTGAGGAACGAATGATAAAGGCACCTGCTGTTTCAATCCCAAACTATGCCCAGGGGAACGCTGTGCCCAGCACTGCCATGCAGCCCCCTCTGGGGTGGAGCGTGGCTGCTGTTTATCTGCCATGTCCAGGTGGTGGCAATGAAAGGGCCGGTCTGCGGGGCTGTGAAGGGACGGGTTTGGGCTGGGAGAGCAGAGCGCCACTGAGGGTGACACGGGGAGGAACAAGTGACTCATCCGTGCCCAGCTCCAAGGCAGGGGTGGGAGGAGGGAGGGGGTTCCTGCAAGGAGCGTCAGGCCTTGCCCTCCCTCCCGCTTCGCTGGGAGAACTGGTTCATCTGGCTGTGCCGGGGCTGCCGGGTCTCCTGCCCTCTGCTGGCAGCCGGGAGATGGATCGAGCTTTGGTCACCCCCTTCAGCCGTTGCCATTAGTGTCTAGGGAGACCAGCTGGAGACCCTCTGGCCTGGGAACTCAGCCCCCCGCCCCCCCGAGACGAGGCCCATGCAATCGGGCTGAGCAGCCACGGGTGAAAAGTCAGGCCTGGATTCCCCAGCTGGCAGTGGGCTGGTGTAAAAGTCCCGGGGAGTGAGGGGGCATTGGGCTGGGAGGCATTGGCTTGAGGCAGACGGCAGAGGGGGAGCCCAGGGCGCAGGAGGGGTCAGTCGCTGGCACTGGGCTCTGGGGGGCAGGGAGGAAAGCTGGGCTCTGGCCAAGGCGACTCTGGGGGAACCTCACTCCCCCCCAACCTGAAACTGCGCTGGTGACGCCCCTCAGTCCTGACCCGCAGCCCCCTGGCTGTTCCAGCCGTGGGTCTCTTCTACCCCCCCCCCCCCGATCTGCCAACGGCTCACAGTCCCCACCCACTGGGGCAGGCCCCATGGGATAGGAGAGAGCTTGAGGGGGAACTTTGAAGCGAGGATTTTGTTATCGGAGGGTGACTTGTGAGCGCCAGGGCTGTGCCTGGTGGGTTATTGTGGGGGCATTCAGGGCTGTACATGGTGGCATGTTATTGTAGGGTCTCTTGGGCCTGTGCTTTATTATAGGGTCACTTGTGGGCACTGGGGCAGCCAGTCGAGGATGCGTCATGGAGCCAAGCCTGTGCGTTGCAGACCCATTCGGGCTGGTTCCATACAGCCTTGAGTGGGAGGGAGGCCAGACCCCCCCCGGCCCCCCAGGACACGGCGCCAGGTTCGCTCTGGGAAGAACGAGATCCAAAGCGAGCATTTTGATCATGACCTGGAGGTTTATTGGACTCGCCCTGGCAGTGTGGGCAGGGCCCTTGCCACGGCCCCACCAGCACCAACTCTGCCCAGCGCTCCCGGCTCATCCTTGGCAGCCAGCCGCCGTCCCTGGGGCTGCTGCCCGGCTTCCCCGGGGGAAGCTTTGATAGACGGTGGCGCTCACAGACGTAGCGCAGCTGGTCCCAGGGCCCCAGAACATCCAGCAACACCGGCGTCCTGCTGGCCGAGCACCGCGTGCGTAGCCCTTTGCTTCAGGAGCGATGGGCAATAAAGCAGCGAGAGATGAAATGCTCCGACCTGACTGAACTGGCATCTGGGGGGGCCAGAAGCGGCAAATGGCCGGGTGAGCAGTCTGGCCTAGTGGTTGGAACAGGGAACCGTTTGTCAGGATTCCTGAGCTCCATTCCCATCTCGATCACAACCTTGCCAGTAACTCTGGGCATGTCCTTTAGTTCCACACCATCTCGGCTTCCCCACCTGGCAATCAAACGTCCCTGGGATACGTGTTACAACCGCAGGGCCTCCTGTGGGATGCTAAGGGCTTAGCACCCCCTGCAGCATCCCCAAACAACAGTGCGTCTCCTCCCTCTGGGCCCAGGCATTAAAACAGCCTCCCCACAGCCTGACCCTTGCTGAGGTCCCGGATGGACCTGGTGGGAGACCGGCATTGGATGGAGCAGCCTAGTGCACTGGGCTTGGCACTTGCCCAGTATGGTGTCATGGGCACAGGATCGGGCCAGCCTGGTTCCCTTCCACAGCCATAACATGAGTTCACAGCAATCACAGATGCCTCAAGTCAGGCCACCAGCTCTGCGGTTCCTGCTCTGTTGGGGTCCCGGTACCAGCTGGCATCTTGCCCATTCCAACTAGTGCCAGCTGCCTCCCCTCCAGCCAGCACACTGTAACCCACCGCCTTGCCCTGGCTGCCGCACGCCCCATCTCGCCCTCAGCCCAAGCCCCTCGGGGACACGTGGGAACAGGGTAGCCGGGCTGCACATTCCGGTGACTGGGAACCCTTCGAGAGCAGGACCCCACTGACTCCGTTACCCTAAAGGGACACATTCTCCAGCAGCCCCAGCGGTTTCAGAGCCGAGTGCAGAAAGCCCCCGTTCGCGGGCGGCTGGCCGTGCCCAGTGCAGAAGGGACTGCAGGAGCGGATCACCTCGCTGGCCGTGCGGCGGAAGGTCTTGCTGACGAAGCAGTAGAAGAAGAAGTTGACGGTGGTGTTGAGCATGGCAATCATGTTGGCCAGGTTCAGCGCCATGTGCAGCCTCTGGTCGTTGTTGGTGGAGCCCATGTAGAGGTGGAAGAGGATAACGAACGTCCGGGGCGCCCACAGCACGGTGAAGACAGTGGTGACGGCCATCAGCATGGCGATGGTCTTGCCCACGCGCCGGCGGTGCCCGTCCACCCGCTTCCCCCACTTGAGCTTGCAGACGATGACGGAGTTGGTGGCCAGGAAGATGCTGCAGGGGACGAAGTACATGGTGAAGCAGTGAACCCACTTGAGGACCTTGTCCACGGTGGTGGGTGGTTGGGAGTCGTGCCAGATGTCCAGCCACCAGTAGAAGGGGATCCCGGTGGCCAGCGCTGTGCCGAAGACGGCGGCGATGATCTTCCGGGTGCGCTCGGGGTAGGAGAGCATGCGGTAGCGCAGCGGGTGGCACAGCGCCACATAGCGGTCGGCCGTCAGCAGCACGGTCACCCAGATGGAGGCATGGTTGGCCGCAAATTCCAGCACGTTGACGGTGTGGATGAAGGTGTGGGGCACCTCACGGGCCAGGATGGCCATCTGCAGGATGAAGCCCATGAAGATAATGATGACCTGGGTGAGGATGTCAGAGGCGGTCAGGGCCAGCAGGTACCAGTAGGACGATTTCTTTGTCCTGGCAGCCAGGCGGGACAGGGCGATGACCGTCAGGATGTTAACTGGAACAGGAACAAATCACAGCAAGACGTTGAAGGCGTTTGCCCAGCACAGAGGGAAGGTCTGAGATTGGCCGGATCTGGGGATGCCCGTGCTCCTAGAGCAAAGCATGGCTCCAGGCAGCATCTGGGGTAACCTGAGCATCTGCCACCCTGTCTCAAAATCTGCAGGGAGATGCCACCTGTGAAGTTACTGCTTGCAAGGTAACCCGGCGCTGAGCTGGAGAGAGGAACCAGCATCCTCCCCTCTCAATCTCGACATTCGCTGCTGGGTGCGGGGAGACTGCCAGCCCCTGCATTGCTATGGGGGGTGTCTTGGGCTGAAAGCCAAGTGCCAGGTGCTGGGAATGGGTCGGGGGTAAGCTGCACCTGGGGATGGAGGCTGGGCTGGGCAGCTATAAATACCACCGCGCAGGGCGCGTTTGCTGGTTAATCTCTCCTCTGGGTCAGCCTGAGAGATGCAGGTGCCGTCTGTCCCTGAAAGCTGCGGCAACTCCGCCTCTGCTCACCCAGGTTTGACGGCCCTTTGGGCAAAGCAAGCCAGGCAGAAATTAGCCAACCTTGGGGGGCCGCCCGCATGGTGCCCCCTCCTGGCAGCCCCCTCCTGGCAGCCCGCTGTAATTGCAAGCTCAGTGCACAGTGAGTGAAAGTTCAGGTCACCGTAACCTAGGAGAACAAACGTTGCTGTGCAAAGGTGCAAAGGGGAGACAGACAGACGGACTTAGTCCAAACAGGCCATAACTCCCGCTCCTTGAGTTATCTTGTGTCTCCCCCGCTTCTCCCAGGGTTCTTTCCCTTCCC